AGAAAAAAGCGCAGACGAAGTGAAAGAGAAAGAACAAGTTTACCATAATTGTGACTTTGTCGCACTTTTTCTTCAAAAAAAAATCATTTGCTTTTAAGGAACCGTTTCCTTCCATCTCTTTATTTCTTCGTTTGCATCAAATGTGCGCCGTGATCAGGAAGACGTAGAATACGTTGAACAGTTGGACTTCATCAAAATAATTATTTGAATAAAATGTATTTGGCGATTTTTTCAAAAAGTTTGTCTGTTCATCCATCCACCCATTATTTTACCTCTTTCCGGAAAACAAATGTCCGACTTTAAGACATTAAAAACTGTTTAAACCGTCATAAATGCGAGTTGTGTCTTTTTGCAGAGTATAATTATTGCTTTCTGGGAATCAAGTGAATTTTCTGGTCTTTCATTTCCATTTCAGATACACACTGAATCAACGACTGTTATATTCTCTTATAAATAACATTGAATTGAGACAAGTTACATAATTTTTGAAGTTACATAATCTTTAAAATGCGATAGTTTGTCTTATATCAACTGCTAGTGGTTAGAAATGAATTATAAAATTGTACCAGCAGATTTCAGTTTTTAGCTAATCAGTAAAAGCAAGGTTGACAATGGTCATCCACTTGTGGAAGCTAATATCTTTTTTATCTAACAACCAATCTGAAAACTTGCTGTCACTCGTGACCTTGGAACGAACAAGTCCTTTCGGCTCATTATTGGCATCAGTACCATCAATTAAGCATACAGATCTTCCGACATTTCCAAATATTTCCTTCAAATAGAATGCAATGAAGACATGAGCCCTATTGTAATACTACCAATTGTACACTGCCAATCGTATTTGCAGGAATTTTGGATTGCTTATTATGCTATCATTCGTTATCACTAAATATTTGATTGTATTGACAGTAATGTAAGTTAAAGTATTTGCTGTTATCATATTAGTCATTCAGTTTACATATCTGTTAATGTACTCCTTCACTTTCAGTACAATATTATCAATTGCTGAAACGGATGCACAGTTGTTCACTATAAATCTGAACTCGTTCAATAACAACAGCGCAGGCAACAACGTATGTTTCGTCCCTTATTAGTTTCATGCCTTAAAGTGTCACATATTGGAATAACATATTAAGCATTAATGTTCATTTATGTATCAACTTAGTAAACGTTTATTTTACATTTAAGTCGCTGAACAATAATGGTAACTCAATGCAGAGATTCAATATTGTTGGAGGTAATCAAAGAGGAAATCAATCTACTTCAGCTCCACAGACTACTTCTAACCTATGGTTACAGTTGATTGAACTTTTTTCTAGGGGTCTCTCTCAAGTGCCAGTGTCTCAATTTTTCCCCCAATATGGTCCTTCTTATTCATATTACGGTAGGTACGGACGTTATGGTTACTCGTCTTATCCCTATTATTATTATTATTATTATTATTATTATTATTATGGATAATTGTTTTACTTTCTGCAAAGGTTTTTGTATCACTGTGCAGACTCTAAATTTCCAAAATTTATGCAAAACTTTGTTCGATGTTTTGTTCTATAACAAGCTATTAAACAGATTGTGAATTGAATCAGTATTAAAAGTATATCGAAAATCTGTGCTGCACAATTATCGCCACCAAAGTCATCCGCAACTCTGTTATAGTTTGTAGTAACTATACTGATCAATAGCTCATAGACTAAAACTAGGTGCCAAAAATAAATGAATACAGTAGTTACTGGACAATTTTGGTCTAATCACTCATTGAATGATTTAAATATTGCAGTGATCAAGTAATTAAAAAGCAACAGTTTCTTTGAACTACAATATTCCTTAATTTGCATTTCTATAGTTCCTTAAGATTTAGTACCAAAAATGATAAATCTTTAAGACCGTGCATGTTAAAAGCCTTTTAGAAGCAATCAATAAATGGTAAAATAAGTCGTTGGTAGGAAGATTAGAAGGATGCACTGATTCTAGATGTTCTTGTTTCTAGAAAAAAATTGAAGTAAAAAAGAAAAACATTTTAAAGCAAATGGAATGAATTCTAATCTTTTCAACAACCACTCATTTGTTGAACTTTTACTACTTGGACATCA